AAAAAAAAAAAATGGTTAAGATGGACTCAGTGCCTGTAGCTCAGTGAGTAGGGTATCAGCCACATACACCAAGGCTGGAGGGTTCGAGCCTGGCCCAGGCCTGCCAAATAAGAATGACAACTGCAACCAAAAAATAGCTAGGCGGTGTGTTTTATCATTCATGTGTGTGTTTATATATTGATTTCATAATAGTATTGAGTACATTGGATAATTTTTTTTCCATTCTTGAGATACTTTATAATGAAGAATGTATTCCAACTCCATCCAGGTAAATATAAGAGATGTAAAATCTCCATTGCTTTTATGGCTGAAAAGTATTCCATGGTGTATATATACCACAATTTGTTACCCATTCATGGGTTGATGGACTTTTGGGTTGCTTCTATGACTTGGCAATTGGTTGTATTCTAGGCACATCATGTAAGTAGAATCGTATGATATTCATGTTTAGAAGTGTTCCCTTCTCTTCACATCCACTCCAGCATCTGCAGCTTTGGGACTTTGTGATGTGGGCTAATCTTACTGGGATTCGGTGATATTTCAAAGTGGTTTTAATTTGCATTTTTCTGATGATTAAAGATGATGATTATTTTTTTCATGTGTTTGTTGGCCTTTTGTCTGTCATCTTCAAGGAAGTTTCTGTTCAAGTCTCTTGCCCACATAAAAATGGGCTTGTTTGTTCTTTTCATTTATTGAGACAGAATCTCACTTTGTTGCCCGTGGTAGAGTGCTCACTGCAACCTCAAACTCTTGGGCTCAAGTGATCCTCCTGCCTCAGCCTCCGGAGTAGCTGGTACTACAGGTGCCCGCCACAACACCTGGCTATTTTTTGTTGCAGTTTGGCCGGGGCCAGGTTTAAACCTACCATCCTCGGTATATGGGGCCAGCGCCCTCCCCACTGAGCCATAGGCGCCGTTCTACTGTTATTCCTTCTCTAATGTTCTTCCTTTCATCATGTGTTACCTGAGCTTCTGATAGATGTCAGAAACAAAGCTTGGCATCACTAGCAATATGTGATCACTAGTAACCACTATGAGATACCTACCATTTTATACTTACTAGTATGATATAAAAATTTAAAAAGAAAAAGGAAAATCACACTTGTTATCAAGTGTGTAGAGAAACTGGAAACCTCAGACTTGGCTGGTAGCAATGCAGAATGGTGCAGCCGCTGTGGAAGACACAGAGACTCACTGCGTGATCCAGTAATGTTACTTACACACTCGAGAGAAGTGAAAACAGGTGTATAAGCTTATACACAGACGTTCACTGCACCATTATTCCCAACAGCCAAAAGGTAGAGACAACCTAAACGTCCATCAGCTGACAAATATCAGTGTGGCATATCAAACAACACAATGCCACTTACCCATAAAAAGAAATCAGGTCCTGACACACGCCACACATGGATGGATGTCATGCCAAGTTAAAGAGGTCAGCCTCAAAAAGTCCCTCTTGTGCGATTCCTTCAATATGAAAGACCCAGAAGAGGTGAGTGCACAGCCACCACAAGCAGAGTGACTACTGCCAGGAGGCAGGAGTGAGGAGGCTCTGCACAGCTGGGGCTTCCCATTCAGCGGGACGGAGATGTTTTAGAACTAGATAGAGGTGGTGGTTGCACAGCACTGTGAATTTTACTACATACCAATGAATTGTACACTTAAAATGGTTAATTTTATGTTGTGTCAATGTTACTGCGATAAAATCTGATATTTGTTCTATAGCTTCTTATTCCATATTATCACCAATTCTATATAATAATATTCTATAATATAGTTACAATATATCCTTTAATGTAGAATTCTACAATATGTTATTGACTATATTATTATAGAATATAGTATATTAGTTGTTGAAAATAATAGCAATTGTGGTATTCTTTCTGTACTGCTTCTTTGAGGATAAGTTTTCTTCTATAAAGTCTGTTTTATTTCCATTAGTTTTTTGTTTGTTTTTTTACAGTTTTTGGCCGGGGCTGGGTTTGAACTTGCCACCTCCGGCATATGGGACTGGCGCCCTACCCTTTTGAGCCACAGGCGATGCCCTCCATTAGTTTTTTATATGATTAGATTTTCACAAATATCTGTTTAGACTGTGTTGCTTGTTCACATTCGAGAGAGCGAGCGAGAGCGGAGAGAGAGATAATAAACTACAGGAAATGCTGGTCACTTGGTGAGGCTCTAAACTGTGAACTATAATCCAGGAGGTTTTGCATGAACGAATATCCCATATGTGGATTTTTCTAAATGGATTTTCTTCTTGGGCTGGTCCAATTCTCTACAAAAGGCTCTAAAATCTCCTTCTTGGGCCAGGCAGTTGCTCATGCCTATAACCCCAGCTCTTTGGAGGGCTACAGCAGGAGCACAGCTTGAGCCTAAACGTTTAAGACCAGCCTGGGCAACACAGTGAGCCTCCATCTCTACAAAAAATAAAAAAGCAGGGCAAGACACGATTGTAAGAGGGACTTTACCTAACAAATGCAATCAGTGTAACCTGGTTTCTTGTGCCCACTAATAAATTGAAAAAAAAAAAAAAAGCAGCTAGGCATAGTGGTACATGCCTACGCTCCCAGCTCCTCTGGAGGCTGAAGCAGAAGGCTCACTGGAGCCCAGGTGTGAGAGGTAGCGGTGAGTTGTGATGATGCCAAGGCACTATAGCCTGAAGGCATCTAAGACCCTGTCTCAAAAATATATTTAAACAAACAAATAAATACAAATCTGCTGGGAAGATGGAGCCACCAGAGCTGCCAGCATTCTGGGAGTTTAAATAGCAGAAAAGAACATAAATTTACTTTCTTTTTTTTTTTGAGATAGAGTCTTATTATGTCGCTCTCAGTAGAGTGTTGTGGAGTCACAGCTCACAACAACCTCAAACCCCTGGGCTTAAGCGATTCTCTTGTCTCAGCCTCCTGAGTAGGCAGGACTACAGGTGCCCACCACAACACCTGGCTATTTTTCTTTTTTTTTTTTGGTTGCACTTGTCATCGTTGTTTAGCAGGCCTGGGCCGGGCTCAAACCCAATAGCCCTGGTGTACGTGGCCGGCACCCTACTCACTGAGTTATGGGTGCGCCCCATAAATTTACTTTCTAATTAATAAGAAAGTTGCCATATAAATTTGTTAAAAGGCAAAAATGTGACTGAGCACTATGGCTCACACCTATAATTCTAGCACTCTGGGAGGCTGAGCTGGATAGATTGCTTTAGCTCATGAGTTTGAGACCAGCCTGAAGAGTAAGATACCATCTCTACTAAAAATAGAAAAATTAGCCAGGCACTGTGGTGGGCACCTGGAGACTCAGCTACCTAGGAGGCTAAGGCAACAGGACATCTTGAGCCCAAGAGTTTGAGGTTGCTGAGAGCTATGATGATGCATTCAACCCCCGGGTAACGGAGTGAGATTTTCTTTTCTTTCTCTTTTATTTCTTTGAGACGGAGTCTTGCTCTGTTGCTCAGGCTGATCTTAAACTCCTGGCCTCAAGTGATCCTCCTGCCTCAGCATCCCAAAGAGGTGAGATTAAAGGTGTGGCATCACAGCTCACAGCAATCTCAAACTCCTGTGCTCAAATGCTCCTCCTGCCTCAGCTTCCCAAAGAGATGAGAATAAAGGTGTTTTTTTTTTTGTTTTTTTTTTTGAGAAAGTCTCACTCTGCTGCTCTGGGTAGAATGCCGTGGGATCACAGCTCACATCAACCTCAAACTCGTGGGCTTCAGCGATTCTCTTCCCTCAGCCTCCCAAGTAGCTGGGACCACAGGTGCTTACCACAATGCCTGGCTTTTTTTTTTTGTAGTTGTCGTTGTTTGGCAGGCCTGGGGTGGATTCGAACCCTCTAGCTCTGGTGTATGTGGCTGGCGTCCTAGCTGCTGAGCTACAGGCGCAGAGCCACGCCTGGCTATTTTTTGTTGCATTGTCATTGTTGTTTAGCTGGCCCAGGCTGGGCTCAAACCTGCCAACCACTGTGCTATGGGCACTGAGCCACACTCAACTAATTTTTCAATTTTTTTGTAGAGATGAGATCTTGCTATATTGCCTGGACTGGTCTCAAACTCCTGCCCTCAAGTGATCCTCTTGCCTTGGCCTCCAAAAATGCTGGGGTTTTAAGTGTCAGCCACTGTGCTAGGCCTAAAATAATATTAATAGGCTCAGCGCCTGTAGTTCAATGGCTAAGGGCGCCAGCCACATACACTGGAGCTGGCGGGTTTGAATACAGCCCAGGACTGCCAAACAATGACAACTACAACAAAAAAATAGTGGGGCATTGTGGCGGGAGCCTGTAGTCCTAGCTACTTGGGAGGCTGAGGCAAGAGAATTGCTTAAGCCCAAGGGTTTGAGCTGTGAGCTGTGATGCCATAGTACTCTACTGAGGGCAATACAGTGAACTCTATCTCAAAAATAAAAAAATAATATCGGAGGCTAGATTGACGTTATAGTCCCAAATATTATTTGCATAGTTTTAATTTTTTTTTTTTTTTTTTGCAGTTTTTGGCCAGGTGCTGGGTTTGAACCCGCCACCTCCAGCATATGGAGCCAGTGCCCTACTCCTTTGAGCCACAGGTGCTGCCCATAGTTTTTAAATTTTCAAGTGTCCATTTTATAAGTGCTTAGGTTGTAATATCTGAGATAGGACTGAGACAGGCACTCAGTGTGCACTCACTGGCAAGGTTAAGTCCATTTAAGATATACTCCAAAAACTAGGTCAGCAATAATATTGCATAGAACAATGAACCACTTTCCTGGATAAAGAATGGTATTCAATCTAAGAAAGAGTAAAGAACCTTAATAGCAGGGAAATCAAATTTCCATGTTTGAAACCATGATACTGTAAACACAGAAAGTTTACACCTTTGATCCTTAATGTACGGCATATAATTATCACTTTCAGTTTGTAGTGATAATTGTTCCATTCTAGCTAGTCACTGAGGACCCTTATGAGAATTCCTGCCACAAGCACTGCCATAGCGAGAACTAGAGCTGTCCCCCGGTAGAAAATCAGCTGTCTCAGGGTCAAGACGTCCCCGACTGTGGACACCGTGTTCTGGGAGTTTTCTTCCAGTACCATCAGCTGGAGGGTCTGGGTCTCTGGTCTGATGATGTCAGGTAAAACCACTCCTTCAGCTCCTTCTCTGCCCAGGATAGGCAGATCTGTTGGCAGAGAACAGCGAGGATGTTTACTTATGTACTGAGTTGAGTAAAGGGAGATTACTGAGTTTACAGAAGAATACATTATAAACAGTGACCATCAGTCATAGCTTGGTAGACGTGAATTACAGAAAATCTATTTCACAGGAGATCCCAGAGTTGATCTTGCTAATTGTTAGGTCTGAGCCAAGTTTTACTGAGCAGGAGAGCAAGGATGCCAGCCCCATTACAGTTCAGGCACTGCATGACAGAATGAGAATCATGTGCTATTCTAGAGAACAGCCTCCCTTACCTGTTGGAGTAGGTATGGGCTCCTTCGTCCCTTTCAGCCCAGCTCGAACTTGTGCCTAGAAACGTGTGTCACATGAGTAAGTGAAGTGCAAGTCAAACCATCAACAGCTGTCATTTTTTTTTT